GGGTTGTACTAGAAGACCTCCAAAGTCTCTTCCAACTCTGTTATTCTGTTACTCTGCATTATCTATGTTGTCTTCATGCCAGAAATATACATGCCTCAAATTCTCTGTATATGCCTGATTTGGAAGCTGCACTCCAATACCTAGCAAGCTTTCCCAGATTTATTTCCTCCAAAGATAACAGAACCTGTTTCTCACATTAAATTTTAAGTTTTCTAACCTAAAAAACACAATCCAGGGCATTGCACATTCATGTTTGAAAGAACCCTTGGAGTAATTTCTGTGGGAAATTATTGACTGTGGAGCTGCCTTATCTCATACAGTAAAAGCATTTCTCTCCTCACAGTCATCTTCTATATTGTGAACTTTAAGATTCATGTTTATTGACCTTGATTCTAAGCTTGAAGAATTCCAGCAGGAAAGTTACCTGTTGAAAGAAAGATAATTCAGCATGGCAATATTATTTCTGGGAAGAATGTTATTTATTTTATTTTACTTATTAAATTTCTATGCCACCAATCTCACTAATACAGTGACTCTGCACAGCTTACAACATAATAAAAAGTTAAAAAGTGCTATAAACTTTTAAAATTAGAAGAAACGGATTAAAATTTAAGAACCAAAATAATGGGCAGACTGGGGGTGAGAATTGTAGCAGGTCCATGTCAGGGCCCGAAGCCAAGACTCAAATTTTTAGGTTCTTCTTAAAGGCCAGGTTTCTTGTCTGTGATTCTTGTAGGAGATGACTAGGGTGAGCCCAAGGAAGGGGTCAACAGTCATGAGTCTCTATGCACCCACCAAAGCTCTACATCCCTATCCATTGCTTTTAGTTCTGCTTGAGTCCAATCCACTATTCCAGCTGTGTATCTAATGACTGGAATTGTGCAGATGTTGATTGCCTTCACAGTATTTCCTCCATTGAGTTTAGACTTTAAGATCTTCTTCACTCTCTTGATGTATCTTTTTCTTGACTTCAGTGTGCTTGATGTTGTCAGCTTGAAGGATACCTAAGTATTTGTAGTAATCTTCCTCATCCAGACTCTTAATGTTATTTTTGTGGGGCATCTTGATTCCTTCAGTTTTCACTACTTTTTCTTGTTTGATAGTAAGTGTGGCACATTTGTCCAAGCCAAACTCCATTGCAATATCTTGGCTATATATACGGACAGTGTTGAGCAACGATTCTATTTCAGACGATGTTTTTCCATACAGCTTCAGATCATCCATGTAAATGAGGTGAGATAGTCTGGCATGGTATACATACCATTTAACCATTGTTGTTTATTCCAAGCTAACTAACAGCCAATTATGTAAACAAACTCCTAGTTTTCATTTGGAAATAAAATCAAAGCACATGTATAGATGTCAGGTATATTGTACATTCTGCAGTGGGTAGTGATGTAATCATTCAGAAAATTAATTATCTATATTATTCTGTGAAATGGTGTAAAATGGTAACTGTTGGCAAAATGACCCTAGAAACAAAAAGGAATATAAATGTGAAAAAAAATGATGCCAGCATATTCAGCAATGTTGTTCTTATATTTTCCTGACGAAATTTTTCTGTTATTGATGTCTTTCCCACTTACCCATTTCTGGTTAATTATGTTCCTCTCTTTCCCTGCTAAGTTTGTCTCTAGCTACACTAGATATTTTAATGTGTCTGTGCCCTTTGACAGTCATCTGCAATGGTATGCATTTTAAGAATATAGTACTAAGGCTAGAATTGCAGTATTCTTGATAAAAAAGCATGTTTTTATCACTGGTTAGTTAAATTAAAATGTCAGGGCGCCAGTCTTCACTTTCCAGTTCTTTGCCTGTTCATTAGCGCAAATCCACTGAATTCAGTAGAATTTTTTTTCTGAGTAGACATAAGTTGAGTCTGATACTAGTATATGCTGGAAGAATTTTTTCTGCTGAACAAGCTTTCACTTTCTCTGGTATTTTTTCACTTGTACTTGAACTCTGAGAAGTCAATGAAGCAGAACAGTTTACATTGTTGGGGGCAAGATGCTGACTCTGTAAACAGCTTAGAGAGGGCTGTGAAGCACTGTTAAGCAGTATATAAGTCTAAATGCTATTGCTATCACTATTATCACTTCTGAAAGGATTTTATTTATTCTGACTGCAATATTACTGGACACATGGATTGAGTCTGCAGCAAAGCTGGTGGAAGATTGCCGTTTTGTGATTATAATTTGGAATATTTTTCAGTAAATGCATGTAGAAAGTAGGATTTTAATTCGTAGTAGAGATAAAAGACTTCACAGGCATCTTAGCTACCTAAAGTTACGAAGTAGGCAAAAATATAAATTTATTGAAACAAATAATGTGTCATATTGAACATGGCAATCTACTGCCCAGTAGATAGTATTACCAATTCAGTTTGTTTAATCCAACTGTGGAGAATATAAACAAAGATTTTTTAGCCATTTAGTTCCCCAAGTATTCCTCATAATTCAAACGGTAGATCCACTTTCATGTTTCATCCCATTCTTCTTCAGTTTTTGTTTTCTCCCAATCATTACCTCAACAGAGGTTCAGTAATTGAGTTGTACATGATCCACATTGCTCTGAATTTTGAGGGATCAGTGGGAGTGATCACTTCTTGAGGGTTTTGCCTTTTCAGATTAATACTTTTTCAGTGTGTTGGATTCCCTTGCCTCCTACATGGCCCTTTATAATTCTTTTAATCAAGTTAATTAATAAAATCTACAGCAAAATATGAGAGATTATCTCATCCATTACCCTAGGGCCAACCAATTTCAGATTTTTTGTGTGTATGCCTTCAAATTAATTTTGACTCCTGGCATCTGCCCTGCAGTTTTCTTGGCAAGGTTTTTCAAAAGTGGTTTGCCTTTGCCTTCTTTCTAGGGCTTTCTAGAGTTGAGTGAGAGTGAATGGCCCAAGATCATCCAACTAGCTATGTGCCTCAGGTGTGATTCCTGTTCTGCCCAGACGGAACTCGTGGCTCTGAATCCAATCTAAACAGACAGATAACTCGATAGAAATGATTTAAACAAACATTTATTGTCCAGGGATTCTAAGCAGAGACTTACTATGCTGTAGATGCATCTGGTTTTCCATATTTGTTCATACCTATAGGTAATTTAATATTGAATTTTCCCCTCTTCTTCTGCTGAGAGTCACATGTTGGCAAAACACATATGGCTGGATGAACAAAGGCTTCCATCTGGCTTGTGTCCAGGAAGTCTCCCAATGACCCTTTTTGACTCCTCCCACTGACCCATCAACATACCCAGCATTTAACCCAATAACTGCCAGATATTCTAACATACTAACACATGCTCCCTAGTTAGAGTTAAGTAGGTCTATGCTAAGTCCAGAACAATTCCCATTTTTCTCCTTTCTAAATTGACGTCTTAGCCACTACATCAAAATGGCTCTCATTTCAGACTATAGCCATTAATTCCCCAATCATATCCCAAAGATGCTTTTTCACAAGGCAATTGAGCTTCCTTGTTTTTCTTTGATGACATTTTGCTTCTCTTCCAAGAAACTTCTTCAGCTCTCAAGAAGAAAGTCTAGTTGCCTTGTGAAAAAGCATCTTTGGGACAACTATCATGTTTCCCTGAAAATAAGACTTAGTCTTATTTATTTTTTTGCCTCCAAAAGAGGCACCCATTCTTATTTTCAGTGAGGGGGTGTCTTTTCCACTTACCTCCATCACCAACAGCCCTGTCCAGCCCGCCCACTTCTTCTGCATCCAAAGGAGCAGCTTCATTCTGCACTTGAGAATGGAGTTCCGGCCTGCATGTCTCAGTCAAAGGTCTTTCTGGAAGGCCACTACAGCCGAGAACTGAGCTATGGATTGAATAGGGTAGGGCTTATATTAGGCCCACTCCCCAAAAAATCAAGATAGGGCTTATTTTCAGGGTAGGTATGACCTGGATGACTGAGAATCTCCATAATTATTCCCCAATAATAGTTTCAGACTGACAAGTGTTAATACAGAATGCAGATTCCTGCATAAATTTGTTGTCTATCTGGTTCAAGCAGACTTCCTTATCAGTTGCTCTTGAGAAATTGTTATTTCACAGATATCTGCCTCCCACAAATTATGACATATGCATCATGAAATCTTTTCTGTTGAGCATTTCAAAATAACATCTTAATCTCTGCATGTAGAATGTGAAATAACTGTAAAATAAACTTTATTAACTAGCCCTACTTGCTTTTGCAGAAAATTCTGAATGTTCGGAAAACTCCTTAATTTGCCCCAGATTTACCTGTTCTTGATACCCTTGTAGTTCATACAGCATAAAAGACTTGTACTTGACAGTTTTCTAACACTTTTTATCAGTCATTAGGTCTGACTACATCTTTTCACATTGTTTAACAGCTTGGCAATTTGATATATAGGTTGCCATATCTGACTACCACTCCATTTTCTGTTTAATTTGCTAATAATTCCAATTGTACATTAAACCCCACCTCTGTGAATCTACCCACCTTTTAACCCCATTATCTGTGACACTCTTGAAATAAATAGAAAGGATAAGACTCAAAACACCAGCAGGCAGCATTCATTCCCAGTACTTGACAGAGTCTTGGTAATATCTTTCCTATTTTTGATGTAAAAGGGAAAAAAAGGAATCTGATTTTTTTTGATGCAAAAGAACAAAAAGAGTTTTTTGAGCTCCGAATTGCAGATAATCGTTATTTCATTATATTTTCTTCAAGAATTCTCTCAAAAACTCAGTAAGAGAATGTTGATAGAATTCTACTGGCTAAAGTTCTAGATTCTAGAAGTTACTTTTATAAGAGTCTGGTTGGATATTTGCTTCTACACAGAAAAAAATGTTCAGAACACATTTCATGAGTCACAATTACAAAATGGCTTATGTAGATATAAAAGACCCATTTACTGCATGGTAAACCAATGAAATCCCTTGAAGCAATTAGCTCTACTTCTCCTCACTGCTCTGCCCCATTCATATTTATTTTTGTAGTTTTTTAATGAGTAAATGGGAAGAATTTTAAATAAAGAACTGAGCAAGACATTATTTTCTAAAAATGTCTGTGTAAATCTTTCTTACAAACAAAGATGATGCTATAATCTGTTGTCTTATTTTATAGCATACTAAATTTCTTTTCAATCTTTTATTACAGGTCAATGACCCAGACTAAATGAAACTTACCTAAGTTTCCCTTTTACTATTTTAATTAAATTCAAGAAATCTAAAAATGCCATGAAAAGTGTGCCCATACCAGTTCTTAGGAACATCACACTACCAGTCCATGATTCATTGTTATACAATATAATTTCCTGGCAACTGTTAATATAATAACAATAATACTTTGTTAATTAGCTGTGGACCATATCAGAAAAAATTGTTAATAATAACAGAATACAGTACTGCATGTGCTTGGCATCTTCTATTTACTATAGAAGCATTTATAACACATCTCAGATAATCAGCTATATGGAATTGAAATTCTGCTACAAGATCTTATTTTTAATTTAGTTCTCAAATTTATTTAATGTACAAATAGGAACTAACAATTAAAATATGCAGGGATAAACAAACTAGCTCTATTGAAAATCCTGATCGGGTATTTGGAATGTAAATTGTACAAACAATTTTGCTAGGAAGTAAAACTTGTACACTATGTATTTTAATTAATTAATCAGCAAGGAATATAACACTTTTTATAGATACAAAAGAAACCTCTTTAGCTCATCTGGTAACATAGGTTCACCAATTCTCTTTTTCTTTTTGACTCCCAAGTAACTCCAGATGCACAGGTGACATAACTGCATCAAGGAAAATAGCCCTAAAGGGGGAAAAAAAAGCCAACCCCTTCCCCCCCACAAGAATGATCTTAATATCTGTTTTCTAAAGAATTTAAACTAGTTTTAGTTCTTTGCAATCCAGAATAACAATATTTATAGAAAACATTTACTTCTAAACTGGATATAAGAAGTGGAACATTCCAAACTCAATTATTTTTAGTTTATTCTAATCTAGAATAACTGTTGAAGATTAAAGTTAATCAGTCCCATAAAGCAGTTTAAAATGGATAAATACGTTTCTAAATCTGTGTTGATGGTGAGATTCATGTTTGTGACCTTTAAAGCATTCACAGCAATATAATACCATAAAGATTGCAAAAAGTACCATATAATTGTTTTAATTTGTAATTAAACAATCCTGTTACAATACCAGCCAAAACAATTTACTGCAGCAGAACAAACCTTTTACAAATCTTGTGTCACTTTGGGTCTTGGTTTTGAAAAATGGCATATATAATAATGTGTACAGTCATGCATGGGTACATATTTGCTGAGAATAAAAGTATTATGAACCAGTTTCATACTGAAAAATATTCTTTTTTGCACTTTTCTGTTGAACTTTATAAAAATCTACAAATGTGAATTATGATTGTAACAATATCATATCTGAAACTTCAGGTTTGGAAAAAATCCATTCTTCCTTTTGTCTGAAATCTGCGTCTCACAGGAAGTACTTGGATCTATCTCCATGACCATTCCCTTTAATTATTATAAGGTTGCACCCATTATGGCATCAGTGGTCGCAAGTTAGTGGAAATATTAGCAATATTATATGTAATAAGAGCACATTCTGGCACATTGGTAAGAGTTAACAATGTGATACAGATATGTCCATTCAAAGCATGCCTCGGGATCTTTACATACTGTACTCTGTGTTTGAAAGAAACAAAGGTTAATGGGCACCTTCTCTCTGCAGAAATATCTGCATTAGTGCACTGTTGATTGGAACCAGCTCTATTGGCTTTTTTCCTTCTGCATTAATTACCCTAGTATTTGCTCCAAAGTCAATAAGCAAATGGACCATGTCAACATTGGAAGTTTGAGCAGCTATGTGGAGAGGAGAATCCAGGCCTTTTCCACTATTTGCACTTGCTCCTAAAACAAATGAGATAGAACTATTAAACAAACAGTAATTTAACCTAGTTATTTCTTATCTCAGATCCATCTGAATAATTGTCAATTTATAGATTGCCAAAGGAACATAAGGTCTCCTAAATAATCATTTCTTAATTTGAAATAGCTTCAAACTGTTTCATTGTTGAGGTTTACTGCTAAAGTAATGTATCAATTATATTGATCTGAAATGGGACATTAAGAATGCTCAGTATCATTAATGCAACACAGCAATGCAAATTTTTTTGCAGGAAGCAGTGACAGTTCATTCATTTTTAAATAATTTCAAATTGGTTTCTGTTTACAATGCATGTGTTCCCCAAGGCTGTGGTTTTAAGGAAAAGGTTGCAATAAAAAATTAACCAACCAAATTCTTCAACCCTGACACAATTGCTGAAGAAAGGCCCTGAGAAGATATGGGTGTTTATACAATCTATTGAGTAGGTGGCATATAGATTTTTGTAAATCTACAGAGGAAAATTCATTACTGTGCAGGAATATCTTGCCAGGGTTCCAAGCCAAACTGATGAAATCAAAAGAACTAGAAGCCACTGTGTTTTGGCAATTATATTCAGTTAAGCTTCTTGATAACCCTGTGGTGGGCTCAGGAATTCTGGGAGTTGAAGTCCACAAGTCATAAAAGAGCCAAGGTTGCCTACCCCTGCCCTATAGGAACCTGCTGCTTCACCATGAGTTCATTGTGGATATGTTCACTCTGGCTTTAAAATAGCTAATTCTACCCAAATCAATATGCGGAACAAAGCAAGGTATGTTAGTCACTAATAGGAATGTCTTTTAAAAGGTTATAAACATTCATGAAAGATGAAGATGACTAATAAATATTAGTCAACATGACTATTACTTCTAATATCAAAGAGCAGTATTCTGAGAAACATGAGTAAGAGGAATGCATTCCCTCTTGCTTCATTCTTCCTGCTCCTTAGCTTCCCCTAAGCACCTGTGGTTGGCCGCTATGGAAGAAGGCTGGATTAATTGAGGCTTTAGTCTGATCCAATATGGCTCATCTTCTTCTCTTCAAGCATGGCTTATTTTATTAAATTAAGAGGGAAGGTGTCTTAGTGGATAAACTGAAGAGAGACACAGGAATGTTGTAGCGTTGTACTATCCTAGTTACCGTACCCTTCCCTCTCCATCAAAATACAATCTACAAATACTACTGGCCTCCCAGAGCTATTCCCATGATTGTCTGTCCTCTACCCATAGACATTTTCAGGCATGCAAAATGATTTGTTGATATTATATACCTTTTAGTGAATTACCTGACTCAAGTAACTTTTTCGCACATTTCAACTGTTGATTCTCACAAGCGACGTACAGTGGAGTTCCAAGATGCTTTATGTTATGGTCAATACTGACTCCATTGGATAGAAGAGTTTCCACACATTTGGTATGACCTTCAAAGGATCACAGAGATTTAAAAATTAAATTAAAACCCAAAAACCAGACTCCAGTTGCTTACATGTAAAAGGTGAACAAAGACTCACTGGTTTTTACAAATAACTGAAACTTTAAAACTTTTCCAATTTTTCCAATTTCTTTCTCTGACCAACCTTCTTCCATTATAGTTATGGGTTCATACTCAGGTCGTTCACAGCGCATGTCATCTGGCTATGCATAAGTGGCTGAACCAGTGCCCTTAAACTGTAGTCAATATGTAACTCCCCCATTGGCCAAAGATGGTGACCACCATCACCACAAGACAAAACTCCAACACCATCAAAGTAGTAATGCAGGCTTTGTTGAGCAACAGTCTCATCTTAGCAGATTGACAATTTTGCCCTCCAATTGAGTCCTATCACTGCCAAGGCATGAGTGTTCCCAGCTGAGAACCAAGAAAGAGCAACGTCTATGGATTACAGGCCTCAGGATGGAGTATCAGAAGCATGAGCTCCTTCCTTTAACATTTCCCTATTACAAGGCTTAAACCTTCAGCAATTAGGGAGTAGGAAGATGGAATTACTATCCTGATTTCCAGATTGTGCAATAAGACACATCTTGCTGGGTTGCTTTGGACTGGGTGAAGAAAAGGCATCTCAGAAATCTTCTTGTGATGGTCAGATTCCCTTTATGCATTTCTCAGAACCTTTTCCTCTCCTGTCCCCTAATCTCTTTAATTTACGAGATGAACAAAACATTACAAATAAATGCAAAATACCTACATTATATAAAAGACAGTTTGAGCCCTGAACCTGCCCCACCTGTAATTTCAGGAAAGCAACTAGGGATTGTTTTTTCCAACAACAGATGACACCGAAAAGGAAATGCAATGCTGGCCAGAAGGTCCCCAATCATTATCTTGAAAGTATCACTCTGGGATAAGACCGCAACAGAGACCAGCTTCATTGGTGAAGAATTGTAAAATAGACTGTGATGGCAGCTTTTATATCAACATACTTTGCTCTGGACTCAGAGCATATTATTATGGCTACAAAGACAAACTCTATGTTCAAGCCCACTTAGACAGCTAGGCTGTGGAGCCAGAAATCCTTGTTAACATTCTAAAAGTTACAACAACACTGAAAAAGTGACTTATGACCATTTTTCACACTTACGACCATTGCAGCATCCTCATGGTCACATGATTTGCATTTTGATGCTTGACAAGTGACTCAAATTTATGATGGTTGCAGTGTCCTGGTTGTGTGTGATCATCTTTTGCGAACTTCTGACAAGCAGTCAATGGGAAAACCAGATTCACTTAACAACTGTGTTACTAATTCAACAACTGCAGTGATTCACTTAACAAATGTAGCAAGAAAAGTCGTAATATGGGGCAACACTCAATAGATTTCTCACTTACTCACTCTCAGTAAGTTGAGGACTACCTGTATATCAATAATAACATTTAAATAAAGTCGTTCCAAAGATAAGAGTAATTGTAACCTATATTAATGTTCATATTTGGGGGGAAGACAGCAAGGGCTTTCCACACAGGGATTCTGTGCCAGTTGAAAGAGATCCAGACCCTTCTGGAGTCAACAGTGCTAAGTCAACAGTGTTAGGAAGCAGGGAATATTTATTTCCAGCTCAGCAGAAAGTTTTAGAATTCAATAAAGAACAGAATCCTGCAAAGCAATTTCAAATACTCTTCTCTAGCTCAGATAAACAAGCAGGGTGAAGAATTTTACTCTCCCTTTTCCCCTTTTCTTCAACATTGGATGAGCCAGCCTGCAAAACACCAGACTACCATTGAATTTGTTTTTCCCTTTTGTGCAGAATGAAAATATAGGAATTTTTTTGCTAAGGAATTTGCAGCAGCTAAGGGCAGAGCATTGATTTTAGCTTGATGTTTTTCAACTTTCAAACCTGTAGTAGGTAAAGATATAAAAATGGAACTGATGTCAAAATGATCTGACCAGAGAGGAAATTCTAATGCTATGACTGAAGGATGAGGAAATGATGAGCTTTCCAGGTGAACTGCAATGCTCCATGTCCTTCAATATTGCTCTTGAGGCTGAGGTTGCTGGGAATGGCTACTCTGTATCACATGAGGGGCTGATATTATTATTTGTAACACATCTAGACATTTGTTTTATAGTCCAAACAACAGATAGCTAACATTTAGTTATACAATATTCATACAACAAACAGAGATCATTTGTGGATTTGTATAGAATTTGTGTGGAATGAAACAATGAATATATTGTTTCACAAAGTTGTACCCCTCTTGTGTTACCATGGTATATAGGTATATATGCTGACAAATTTACCTCTTTTAGCAGCTTCATGGATGGGGGATGCCAGGTCACAAACTGGATGTGGGTTGGCTCCATGTTGCAGTAGCAGGTTCAAGCAGTCAACGCTACCACTGATACAAGTGTTGAACAGGGGTGTGTTCCAGTCAATAGTAGTGGCATTTACCTAAAGAGAAAAAAAAATTGATACTGTAATGTTTTATTTATAAAACATGTTGAAAAGTTTTAAACATAAAATTATGTAGGAAAATGTTTTGCAATGACATTTTATTATCATAGTACCTCCATAAATATACTTTAGTACAAAATAAATCTAGGATCTGAGCTCTTAAACATTGTCAGCCCTGAGTAGGTGAATGTGTTTGTGTGGGTATAAATGAGAGTTTTTGAGCATTGGCAGAAAGTACATTTCTTATCTTGTTCCAACATAGCTAAAATGAGAGGACATTTCTGTCAAGGATATTTTAATCCCCTTGTTGACCTTTCTTCACAAAAGAAATTAATTCAACTGTGAACTAGTAGCAACAAACAGATAGCAAAAGCACTTCCAGCACATTAATCCTGATTTGGGTTTATAGGAATAATAATATTATGAATCAGGTTATTTTTCCGAATATTAATTGGGTTACCATTGTTGAAAAAGTGTACGAGGATCTCATTGGCAAAGGTTACATTCCTAAGCTACCAAGGCAGTATCTAGAAAGGGGCGTTGTCTTACCTGAACGCCTTTTCTCAGCATGATGATGTAGAATCCACCAGTGGGTAATCTCAGACTTCCTGCTCAGAAAAGACTAAGTCAGAACTTTAGCCATGCCTCCCTCTGGGAGTGTCCTCCAGTTATTGATGAGGCGAAGCATCCATGACGAAGTCTGACGCAATGGCTCCAATTAACATGACACCTGCCTAGACTGCCTTAAGGGAGGGTGTGGATTCTACATCATCATGCTGAGAAAAGGCGTTCAGGAAAGACAACGCCCCTTCTCCAGCATGATGAATGTAGAATCCACCGGTGGGACATACCAAAGCCTTTCATGTCCCTACGGGGAGGGAAAGTCTAGGCTTGTGTCTCCTGAGAAGAAACTACTTGCTGCAGAACTCTCCTACCAAACAAGGCATCCGCCGCAGCAAACCTATCGATCTTGTAATGTTTTACAAAGGAAGAAGGGGAGGACCAGGTCACTGCCCTACAAATCTCCTCGACCGATGCCTGAGTGGACCAGGCCGCAGACGCAGCTGCACTGCGCGTCGAGTGAGCGGTGATATGCGTAGGAACTGGAAATGACTGAGAAAGATAGGCCCAAGCAATACATGCCCTGATCCATCTACCAGTGGTCAAAGAGGATACCTTCTGACCCATGGCAGAGGGCTGAAAAGACACGAACAAGGCCTCTGATTTATGAAAGGCCAAGGTCTGCTTAACATAATGACTCAGAGCTCTGCACACGTCTAACTTATGCCCTTGTCTCTCCAGATGATGTGACGGATTAGGACAAAAATCTGGAAGAACTAGGTCCTGTGACCTATGAAACCAAGTGTTAACCTTAGGAACAAAGGAAGGGTCCAAACAAAGGACCACCCTATCCTCAAAAAAGGTACACAAATCACTCTGAACTGAGAGTGCGGCCAATTCCAAAATCCATCTGGCCGATGTGATAGCCACCAAGAATGCTACCTTTAAGGAAAGGAAATGAAGTGAACAAGACCTAAGGGGCTCAAACGGCGGAGAAGTCAGGGCTTGTAACACCCTAGGTAAGTCCCAAGAGGGATAACGATGGACCACAGGTGATCTGGCGTTAACCGCTCCCTTCAGAAAGGCACTTATAGCCGGATGATGCGATAAAGGGACCAGGTTGTCACAGGTAAGGACTGTTTGCAAGGCCGCAACCTGTCTGCGATGGTACTAGGTGATAGACCCTTATTCATACCTTCCAAGAGATACTCCAATATGTTAGGAATGGTGACTGATAATGGCCTGAGCTGCTGTTTAGTGCACCACGTGCAGAAGTTCTTCCATGTGGCGTCAAAAATCCTATTAGTTGAGGGGCGTCTTGAGGCCTGGATCATCGAGATCACCCCGGACAAATAGGATTGCCTAGCTAAACTTTCCCACTCAAGTGCAAGGCGGCCAACTGGAGCTACTGTGGATCTGGATGTTGAAGATTCCCTTGGCTGAGAGCCACTCAGTCCGGGGGAATCCTCCACGGTGGCGAGAGCAATAGATCCACAAGGTCTGCAAACCACGGACGCCTTGGCCAATGTGGAGCAATTAAGATTATCTCCACCCCTTCCTGAATCAGTTTGCAAATGGTTGCCTGTAACAACAGGAGAGGACGAAAGGCATAGAGCAGGCCCTCCGACCCTTGCACCGGAGGGCGTCCGTTCCCTCCACCCCCCTTGTTGGAAACCTGGAAAAGAACCTGGGAAGTTGGGCATTCATCGGGGAGGCAAGGAGATCCAGATGTGGATGGCCAAACCTGGCCGAGATTTCCCTGAACAGTTCCAGGTCCAGTAGCCACTCTGAATGGTCTACTGTGACCCTGCTCAGGGAATCTGCTTGTCGATTTGCTTCCCCCAATATGTGTTCCGCCCTGATGGAACCCAGAGTGGACTCTGCCCACAGACCCAGCTCCAAGGCCTCCTGCATGAGTGACCAGGACCGGGTCCCTCCCTGTTTGTTGACATGAGCCTTGGCTGCCACATTGTCTGTCAGGATCAGGACGTGCTGTCCCGTCACTAGGGAGGAAAACCGACAGAGAGCTAAGTGTATGGCTCTGAGTTTGAGCCAATTTATGTTGTGGACTAGATCCAATTGGGACCACTGTCCCTGGGCAAGATGGGTCTGAAGATGGGTACCCCAACCGAACAGACTGGCATCTGTAATCAAGGTGAGCCTGAAAGGCTCCTTGAAAATGGTCCCCTTGGACATTGCAGATGAAGCCCACCAAAGAAGAGATGACAGAGTATGATGAGGAACCCTGACCTTTCTGGTGGATGAACTGAGGTTCTGTTTCTGGAAGGGAAGGAGGAACCATTGAAGGCTTCTGGAGTGAAGTCTGGCCCATGGAACAATCCCCATGCAAGAAACCATCTTTCCCAGGAGCTGAGACAGATGGACCAGAGGCACTGTTCTCTCTCTTCGAACCTGGTGCATGAGCTTTCAGATGCTGACCCGATGCTCCTGTGAAAGATAAACCTTGCAAAGATCTGAATCTATAATTGCCCCTAGATGAAGGAGGCACTTTGTGGGGAACATGTGGCTCTTTTTGAAGTTCACGGAGAACCCATGAACCTGAAGGGTATGTATCGTGATTTCCAGGTCTGACTGAGCCGACTGGAAGGAACTGGACTGTACTAAGATATTGCCGAGATAGCATTGCACGCGCACCGGCATCTTCCTGAGTTGGGCCGCCAATACTGCCAAAACTTTTGTGAAGACCCTTGGGACTGAAGAGAGGCCAAAGGGAAGAGCTCTGTATTGGTAATGTCGGTGCGCGTAACAAAACTGAAGGAACCTGCAGTGGTCCGGAAGTATTGGAATGTGTAAGTATGCCTCTGTCAGGTCTATGGAGGAGAGAAAGTCCCCTTTCCTGATGCTGGCCAGAATGGACTTTAGGGACTACATCTTGAACCTTCTGTAGGTCAAGAAGTAATTCAGACCCTTTAAGTCCAGTATCACCCTCCATCCCCCTGAGGCTCTGGGAACCATGAACAGAATGGAGTAAAACCCCTCTCCTTCCTGTTCCTCTGGAACAGGCTCTATTGCCTTGATTTCTACCAAATGGGAGATGGTCGTGGCTACTAATTTTGCTTTGGTTGTGTTTTGTGATACTGGGCACTGTATGAAATGATCTGGGGGAGGTGAATAAAACTCTAGAGCGAGTCCGTGTTTTATGGTCTCTCTGACCCAAGAGTCGGTGGTGGTGACCTCTCAAACGTCGCTGAACAGTGCCAAGCGACCCCCTATGGGATAGTCCTCCTTGGCATCACTTGGGACAGCCCCCAGAGCCCCGGAAGGGACGCTTGGACTGGAACTGGCCCTTGGCTGCAATGCTCTGGTGGTCCTGTTGGCGATCCTGCCTGGGGGGAAAGGATCGCGAGCCTCTGGGCCAATCCCAGGATTGCCCGGTCCAAAAGGGCTGCCTCCACTCCCAGGAACCACTGGGATGGAAGGCCTGCCTACGAAAGTCCTGCTGGGGCCGCTTATCTGATTTTTTGGATGGGTGTGCCAGGATCTTACATTTGTCCTTGCCTTCAATTATATGTGGTTCGAGGACTGAACCGAATAGGTGTGTACCACTGTATTTGGACGTTGACAGACGCCACTTGGACTTTAAGTCAGTCCGCCACTGTTTCAGCCACAGTAATCTGCGAGAAGCAACGGTGGCTGCATTGGATCTGGCGGAATACCTGGCTATTTACCTAGAACTATTTAACTCATTTTTTGCATCTGTCTTTACACAAAGGGAAAAAACAGACCAACCTATCAAAAATAGTGCCATAAAAAACGAAACAGAAACACAAGTTAAGATAAGCAAGAAAATTGTTAGGGAGCAGCTGTCCAGCCTAGATGAGTTCAAATCACCAGGACCAGATGGATTACACCCCAGAGTTCTCAAGGAACTGGCAGATGTAATATCGGAGCCACTGAACTATATTTTTCAAAGATCCTGGAACACAGGGGAACTACCAGAGGACTGGAAAAGAGCTGATGTAGTTCCCATCCTCAAAAAAGGAAAAAAAATGGATCCAGGAAATTACAGACCTATCAGACTGACCTCAATACCTGGGAAGATCCTGGAAAAGATAATCAAACAACGAATCAACGAACACCTAGAGGCAAACAAAGTCATTACTAAAAGCCAACATGGGTTTGTCAAAAAGAGATCATGCCAGACAAATCTTATTGCATTCTTTGACCAAGTGACAAAATTAGTTGATCAGAGGAATGCTGTGGAAATAATTTACTTGGACTTCAGTAAGGCATTTGATAAAGTAGATCACAACCTACTACTTGACAAGATAGAAAAATGTGGGGTAGACAGAACCACCACCAGATGGATCCATAGCTGGCTGACCGGCCGTACTCAGCGAGTGGTCCTCAATGGAACTGCATCTATATGGAGGGAAGTGTGTAGTGGGGTGCCCCAGGGCTCTGTTCTGGGCCCAGTACTCTTCAATATCTTCATCAACAATTTGGATGAAGGAATAGATGGGGAACTCATCAAATTTGCAGACGACACCAAGCTGGCAGGAATAGCCAACACTCCAGAAGACAGGCTTAAGATACAGAAGGATCTGGACAGACTTGAACACTGGGCACTAACTAACAAAATGAAATTCAATGGTGAAAAAAGCAAGGTTCTACATTTAGGCAAGAAAACCCAAATGCACAAGTACAGCATAGGTGGCACCATGCTCAACAGTAGTAACTGTGAGAAGGACTTCAGAGTCCTAGTAGACAATCACTTAAATATGAGCCAGCAGTGTGCTGCAGCTGCCAAAAAGGCCAACACAGTGCTAGGCTGCATTAACAGAGGGGTAGAATCAAGATCACGTGAAGTATTAATACCACTCTTCAATGCCTTGGTAAGGCCACACTTGGAATACTGCATCCAGTTTTGGTCACCACGATGTAAAAAAGATGTTGAGACTCTAGAAAGAGTACAGAGAAGAGCAACAAAGATGATTAGGGGACTGGAGGCTAAAACATATAAGGAACGGTTGCGAGAATTGGGTATGTCTCGTTTAACGAAGAGAAGGACAAGGGGGGACATGATAGCAGTATTCCAATATCTCAGGGGCTGCCATAAAGAAGAGGGAATTAAGCTATTTTCCAAAGCACCTGAAGGCAGGACAAGAAGCAACGGGTGGAAAATAATCAAGGAGAGAAGCAACCTAGAACTAAGGAGAAACTTCCTGACAGTGAGAACAATCAATCAGTGGAACAGCCTGCCTCCAGAAGCAGTAAATGCTCCAACACTGGAAGTTTTTAAGAAGAGACTGGACAGCCATTTGTCCGAAATGGTGTAGGGTTTCCTGCCCGAGCAGGGGGTTGGACTAGATGACCTCCAAGGTCCCTTCCAACTTTACTACTACTATTATTATTATTATTATTAAGGATGGAGGCAATGGAGGTTGCAAAGGTGGTTGACTCCTAGAGGATGACATAAATTGAGTAAATGCATGTTGCATAAATGCCTGAAATTGTGCTGACCACATATTCTGTTGGTCCCTAGAACTGACCCCAGTCTCAGTTGTGGCATATGTGGCTTCAGGACCCTATTGTGTAGGTGAACATAATGAGCGAGGGGGACCAAACTGTTCAGTTTCCCCCTGAGGAGACCATGCCCTAGGGTAATCATGGGAAGGTGCAAATGGAGGCTCAAATGGAGAAGTGTCCAATGGAATGGGGGGAACCACTGATGTGGCCAGAGATGACCACTGTTCCTCTACCGTAGTACTGCTAGAGGATAACACAAATTGCATAAATTCATGGTGCATGAATGCCTGAAACTGCCTTTCAGACCATATATTTCGTTGTTTCATAGAACTAGCCCCAACCTCCATTGGGACATACGTTGCCTCAGGACCAGGCTGTATAGAAGAAGAGGAGGAGCGAGGGGGACCAACCTGTTCAATTTCCCCCTGAGAAGACCATGCCCGAGGGGCATCCTGGGAAGGCGCAAATGGAGGCTCAAATGGAGAAGTGTCCAATGGAATGGGGGGAACCACTTCAGCTTCACTGGACATGAGTCTTTGGGCTTTGGAGAATTCCCTCTCCAGCGCCTGGTGTCTCCTCATGGCTTCTGGCTCGGCTGCCTTGGACGACTCTTTGGTAGATAAATGCTTTGTCTTGGCCTTTTTCTTTCCTCCCCCATCCAAATCAGTTGATCTGCGCTTTGTCTGTGTGGGGGGAATACCAGAGCCTTGTGATGCCTGGGGTGAGGAACTGTCTGCCATTGCAATCTAGACAATCCAGGCAAGGGATATCTAGAAGTGGGGGGAACCCAAACACGCAGATCTAGTTGTCAGAGACGGGAAAATGACCCTCGCTCTGAACCACAGCAATGGCAAAAAACAGCCAGACAGTTCACTAGAACTGCCTGTCAAGGCCTTGTGGCACAGTGCCACAGACTAAACAGAAACAGGTGGATTCTAATAAATTCCCCTTCGCTCAACACACACAGTAAAGAAGGATATACAACCTGAATTTCATGAGTAGTCAAAATAATAATGCAAGTGCAATGAGGCGATCACTGATGTGATTCCCTTAATAATGCACCAAATTATCCAGAAAGATCTTCAATGCTTCCCCCCAGTGAAGGCCTGACACAGCAGGCCAGGGCAATTAAGCAAGCAGGTCCCAATAGAGCTCAAAGGAACACGAGGTCCCTACAAAATGGCGTCTGCGCCTAAATCGCTCTCAAAATGGCAGCCGCGCCTTGAGCATGCATTCAAATGGCAGCTGTGTCTTCTAGTGCCTCTTGAACAATGGCAAACATGCCAAAAAACTGAGAAAATGGAGCTACAAGTCCCCTTGGAAGGAAGGGCCTTAAAAATCTGCAGTCTAAATAGGCTCCCTTCCCCCCGCTCTGAAAAAAGCACTTGCGGTTTGGTTGCTCAGCTTCGCTGCAATCCGAAGTCACCTGCTTCCAACAGAGAAACCTCGTGCGTCGGCAACAGCAAGGAAAGGGAAGCCCTCCGGTCCGTACAAGCTCCGAGGAACTCTGAAACACCGCAAGCCAGCTGTCCGGCTGATCAGGGGTCCCGCTGATCATCTCGATGGAAGCGAAAACACTCCACTTCAGATCAGCCTGTAACCTGCTCTGTAGGAGCCTGTTAGGCTCTTGTGGCCCAAAGGCCTGAGTAATATCCAGGAGGATTACTGCCAAATTCTTTGCCAATTTGAGTCCAAATATCAAGGAAGAATAAAAACACCTGAATTTAGAGATCTTTTGAATAAATTGAAATCCAATTAAAAATAAACCAAATTAATTAACCTAGTCTAACTGAGGAGCCAAAGGAGTTGCGTCCTACTGAGCTGAGACTAAGTCAAAAACTGGGGGACACTCCCAGAGGGAAGCATGGCTAAAGTTCTGACTTAGTCTCTTCTGAGCAGGAAGGCTGAGATTACCCACCAGTGGATTCTACATTCATCATGCTGAAGAATTATTTATTTTTCTTGCATGCACTATAACTAGATCTTTGAGTACTTACGTTGGCTCCATGTTTTAATAAAACACTGACACATGCAGCATGTCCTCCTAAGCAAGCTTCATGGAGAGGAGATACACAATCTGCTGTCCTAAAATTCACACTAGCTCCCTGGTACAACAACAAAAAGCATAGTTAGAGAGAAATCCCACATGTTGTTTTCAAATCTAAACTAACCGAACTAAAGATTGGATCTACTGTTTCCACCAGTAGATTAACCCATTATTTGGGTTTTAAGTAGCATCAGGCCATTATAATATGGCAACTATAGTATCAGGTCATCTTTGAACCACTTAAAGCTTATTCTGCAACTTAAAATGTATTAATTTTCCTAAACAATATGCTCTCTGCTGGATGCAGATTTTTTCCCCAACACTGTTACAGTATATCTTAAATATTGTGGCAGAAATATATGGGAAACTATTTGCTTTGAAAATGTCAAGCCTCAATGAAAACTCTAATGGAAGGATGCACTTGGACTCAGGTCTTGGCCCCAAATTTTCTACTACTGAAATGGTCGTAATGAGAGTTGAATATTGGATCAAAAGGTCTTTGGCTTGATCCAGGGCTTTCTAAAATTGACACGTGTCAAGATTCACATCCCACCACAACTACCACCACCACATGAAGAAGAAAAACTTGACTTACTTCTCATCATTTTATTTTGGTTTTTCAAAAGCATAAAAGTATGGATTCAAAAAAGGCAAAAGGAGAAATTAAATCACTCAAGCCTTCAAAATAAAATAATATTTACTTACAAATATAGTTTTACTTAAATTGATTGATTTACTTGCAAAGTTTCAATAACCAGAAGTCCACAGAGCAGAAGGCTGCCTTGAAAGCTCCTCAAAATATTTTTATGAGTCTTTTAATGTGAAGGAGAAAGAAATACATTCACAGAAATTAATTTTAGTTAAATCCTGCTTGATCACATTTAATTCTTCCACCATGTTTATTGGTGTATTTTTAGCGAATCATTGAAAACTTGAGTGCTCAACCATTTTCCCCTGTCAAAAAGATCTGTTCTTCTGGATTAGGTGAAGAAGAACCTACACAATTATATTGCATTTTAATTGATTTTTATTACATTTTACTTTGTATTTTTCTACAAATAACTCAGCAAATCAGAGCAGAATTTTACAGAATCTTTTTTCCCAGTTATCCTTTTTTGTTTCCCATCTATCCTCCTGTTCAAGATGAAATGTCAAGCATGGATGTAAATTAGTTTTACACACTTAGCACAATGAAATCAAAATGCATGAATGCCACATAATCAGTAGCTATAACAAAATGAATCTGCAAGGAACTCCAAGGTTTTTTATGGACTGCTGCTTTTCCCCATATTTTTTAACTTCTGCATGAAAAAGCTGGAGAAGCTCATTCACCTATTGAAGTGTTATCCCTATGTGGATGATAGTCCAGATAGTCCTCACAATCACAGTTGGGTCCCAAACTTCTGTCAGTAAGCAATGTGTCAAGTGAATTGTGCCTGATTTTACTATCTTTTTTTGCTGCAATTGTTAAGCATCTCATGTTGTTAAATGAACCCCACTGTCTTTGCTTGTTGGAAGCCCTTTGTGAAAGTCACAAATGATGTTCACATGTCCCTGGGGCACTGCAATTATCATAAATATATGCCAGCTCCTGAATTCTGATCATGTGACCACAAGGACTAGTTGTAAGTCACTTTTTTCAGCACTTCAGACAGTTATTAAATGAATTGTCATAAATTGAGGACCATATGTATCCACATACTGTATACAATAACATATAAGCTCAACCAGAGATACCATGGAATTCCTGAATGAGTGTCTGAAGACTGTAAAGATTTAGTTGGGGCCCAACAAGCTTAGATTAAGAATGAAATGGTCATAAATGCAAAGTCATGAAATGAATGCAGTGGTGATAAAGTGAAACCATTGTTAGCTATGGCACATTTTTGCTGAAAACCTGAAGTAAATGCTAGTTTGGACAAAAATATTGTAAAACATATGACTGCAGAACATCACAAACAGCCATAAATGTGAGTTGGTTATGGAGCACCTGACATGCAGTCACATGACTACAGGGGATGTGGCCATCAGAACTTCAGAACCGGGTTATAAGAACCTTTGGATTGGGTGTCTATTGTAACTTTGAAAGGTCACTAAGCAACTGATCATAAATTGAGGAGTACCTGTACTCCTATTCCAAAGTCACATCATTGGTTACCAAAAGGCTACTAGGTTCAATTAAAAGTGCTGGTTATAATGTGTAAGCCTTTTACAGCACAGTACAGCACTGGGAGATACCTGGAAATATCTTGCTAAATTTGAATGTGCCACCTGCACAGTCATTTAGTGAACACCAGTTGCTGGTCCATCCCCTCCAACCTATCGTGTTCAAGAGGTATGGATCACATAGCAAGCCCCAGTAGTGGCCCCCATCTTATGGAAAAGTCTCCTCAAAGTTAAGGGAATCTTAACGCTGTAATTACTATGTGAGAAGGCAAAAGCAGCACTGTTCAGCAGATTTATTGCCCTCAGATTGTCAGTGGCACCTTTGATATACTAGTGTTTTTAATGATGTGCATGTTTGTATGTAAATAAAAATGAGAAAGTTGGCTATAAATATTGTAAAGAAAGAGAGAAAAAATACTGCAATATAGATTTCCTTGAAGTCAAAGCAAAGTCAACCTTATATTGTGAAGTACAGCCTGTCTTCAGAAAAGTATTTAATGATGAGGATAAGCAAAAGATTGATCTCCTTTTTATCACCATACCTGATTGATGAGTTTCTTCAGAGCATGTAGTCTCCCATGAATGGATGCTTCATGTAAAGGAGACCAGTCAGAGACAAAATCTGTATGAAGATGGAGAAAAAGGATATAATTTAATTAGTATATCTCTATACTTGAATTTGGATAATACTTTAATAAAGCTCCCACTACCTAAAGGGATTTTCTAAGATTATATGCATTTATGGGTTTCGGTATGATTAAATACTTCATACTGCTTCAATAAGCAAAGGCAATTATATTTTATTGCCTTGCAGGTCATTCTTATCTTAAGACCCATATAACTCGGGGAAAAACCCAAAATATCACACGATGAAACAGACAAAAGCTAGTCATCAAGATGACTACTGCCATCTCTATGCCTTTTGCTATGCTGCTCATTTTATTTGGTTGCCTAATGTGAGAAAAACAATTTACAAAAAAGGCACAGCTTTTTACCTCCAACAAAACTGAAGGAATGTAAAACCCCTTAACTATAGCAGATTTCATGCATGGCATGAAATATGGGAGTTATGCACATGACATAAGGCAGGAATAAGTTTCAAAGTCTGCTCCTGAATTTCATATCAAGAATTCTGAATGTGAACAGGAACTGGGACACATCAATGAGTAGATCCCATTCACACACTCTGTTCCATATGTAAACATGGGCAGGGAGGTGGAATGGGACTCGTCAAAATATGCTCATCAAATGTATTTATATTAAGCATGGCTCTGATTCCACATCAGGTCTTATATTCCGGATTTCTTTCCATTCCCAAATCCAATGTACTGTATTAAATCCATGACCCATGTTTTCTGTCTCCACTTATAACACAAAATACCTAATTGTGACCTTGGTCCTACAGCGATACCTGAGGACCTTAAACAACTTCACTATTTCTCTCTTGCTGTCTTGTATGGCTAACCTGCTTACCAGAGAAGTTAAATAATCCTCCATTCAACTAAATGCTACTTCTAAGACTGCCTCTTCTACAAGGGCTTAATACAGTGCCTGAGCTGCTACATTGCACATGAACTCAGCCTACAACTAAACTTAAATACCTGCTACATAAAACACATTAGTTTATTTATAATCTCTACCTTCCTTTCCTTCATTTTCTCCTTTTCATTGATGTCAAAATTTAGAATCTAAGTTCCTTGGTTTAAAATTCTATAAACTATTTGGTTCTAAAGTAACAAATTGAATGCCAGTATAGTAGTAATACAACATATTGAAAAGTTATTGTAAATGTTTCCAAGAAAATAACCAGCAGTTGGTAATGACTAGGTTTCTGCTCAATTTGATGATAAAAACGAAAAAATTACATTTGCTATCTGACACTTCTTTTTCACATTGTGTCAGATAATTAATATAGTGCTAAAGAAACACAATTCCACAATAGAGGCTAACAAGAAATACAGATCAGCAAAAATGTTATCCCTCTTATTTACCTGAAAAAGAATTTAAAAAATCTTTCAATTTCATGACTCTTCAATCATTTTAAATGGTCTTTTACTTCAAGCATGGACTTGGACAGTATGGCCTCATTTTTTTAAGGATAATGTTCATGAATATTCTTGCTTTTAGTTAAGTGAACTAAATGATCAGATGACCCCATTCAGCTCAATTTTCTTTCAGATTTGTGGCCTTTCTAATTTCAATATATTATTATTATGGATCATTGAACAGTCAGCCAGATGTTCAGACTGGATTTGGCATTTTGTCTACCTATCGAGTCCTTACCCAGGACCTGGGATAGGCAGATGTGGATGTTTGATGGTATTACAGATATCGTCGCAGGATGGAAGCAGTTCCTATAAGGCTGCCTTTTGCAATTGACTAATAGCGAATTTGTCAATGCCAATGGTGTTCAAGTGGTGCTCCAGTTGTTTTGGGATTGCACCCAAGGAGCCTATGACTATTGGTACTACCCTTGCTTGCTTTTGCCACAGTCTTTCTATTTCTATTTGTAGGTCTTTGTATTTTGTTATCTTCTCCAGTTCTTTCTCTTCTATTCTGCTATCTCCAGGCACTGCCACGTCCACTATCCAGACTTTTTTGTCTTTCTTATCGACAATTGTTAAGTCTGGGGTGTTATGTTGCAGGTGCTTGTCTGTTTGAATTCTGAAGTCCCAGAGCAGTTTAATTTTATCATTTTCTATGACTTTCTCTATTTTATGATCCCACCAGTTTTTGCTTACAGGCAAATGATATTTTCCTGTAAGCAAAAACTGGTGGGATCATAAAATTTCAATATATTATTATTATTGTCAATCATCGCACAGTCAGCCAGATGTTCAGACTGGATTTGGCATTTTGTCTACCTATCGAGTCCTTACCAGGACCTGGGATAGGCAGAAGTAGATGTTTGATGGTATTACAGGTATCGTCGCAGGATGGAAGCAGTTCCTAATAAGGCCGCCTTTTGCAATTGACTAATAGCGAATTTGTCAATGCCAATGGTGTTCAAGTGGTGCTCCAGTTGTTTTGGGATTGCACCCAAGGAGCCTATGACTATTGGTACTACCCTTGCTTGCTTTTGCCACAGTCTTTCTATTTCTATTTGTAGGTCTTTGTATTTTGTTATCTTCTCCAGTTCTTTCTCGTCTATTCTGCTGTCTCCAGGCACTGCCACGTCCACTATCCAGACTTTTTTGTCTTTCTTATCGACAATTGTTAAGTCTGGGGTGTTATGTTGCAGGTGCTTGTCTGTTTGAATTCTGAAGTCCCAGAGCAGTTTAATTTTATCATTTTCTATGACTTTCTCTATTTTATGATCCCACCAGTTTTTGCTTACAGGCAAATGATATTTTCCTGTAAGCAAAAACTGGTGGGATCATAAAATTTCAATATATTATTATTATTGTCAATCATCGCACAGTCAGCCAGATGTTCAGACTGGATTTGGCATTTTGTCTACCTATCGAGTCCTTACCCAGGACCTGGGATAGGCAGAAGTAGATGTTTGATGGTATTACAGGTATCGTCGCAGGATGGAAGCAGTTCCTAATAAGGCCGCCTTTTGCAATTGACTAATAGCGAATTTGTCAATGCCAATGGTGTTCAAGTGGTGCTCCAGTTGTTTTGGGATTGCACCCAAGGAGCCTATTACTATTGGTACTACCCTTGCTTGCTTTTGCCACAGTCTTTCTATTTCTATTTGTAGGTCTTTGTATTTTGTTATCTTCTCCAGTTCTTTCTCTTCTATTCTGCTGTCTCCAGGCACTGCCACGTCCACTATCCAGACTTTTTTGTCTTTCTTATCGACAATTGTTAAGTCTGGGGTGTTATGTTGCAGGTGCTTGTCTATTTGAATTCTGAAGTCCCAGAGCAGTTTAATTTTATCATTTTCTATGACTTTCTCTGTTGCTGTCTTCTCAATTTTGACTTTGTATGCATTTGTCCTTAAGGCTTGGTCTTGTGCAGCCAGAATTAATCCCTCGGTCTCTTTCTTCAATTTTCCTGCTCTTAGCCATTGCCAGGTTTTATTATTATCTGCTTTCCCAGCTATTTTTTTAATGTATTGGCCATGTAGTGCTTTGTCTTCCCATGCCTCTATTCTGTTCTTCATTTGGTCTTTCTTGTAGGCCAGTTTGGTCTCTCCAGTAGTTAGTAAGCCTTCCTGATATACTAATTTCAGTGCATCTTCATCATTGTTCTTCAGATATTCTTCCAAAGCCATTTTTTCTTCTTCAACCATCTGATGTACTTGTAGCATTCCACGCCCACCTATTTGCCTTGGTAGATAAAGTCTATCAATGTCACTGCGTGGATGAAGGGCATGATTCATTGTCATTATTTTTCTGGTCTGCCTATCCATTGCTTTTAGTTCTGCTTGAGTCCAGTCCACTATTCCAGCTGTGTACCTAATGACTGGGATTGCCCAGGTGTTGATTGCCTTTATGGTATTTCCTCCATTGAGTTTGGATTTTAAGATCTTCTTCACTCTCTTGATGTATTCACCTCTAATCTTTTTCTTGACTTCAGTGTGCTTGATGTTGTCAGCTTGAAGGATACCCAAGTATTTGTAGTACTCTTCCTCATCCAGACTCTTAATGTTATTTTCGTGGGGCATCTTGATTCCTTCAGTTTTCACTATTTTTCCTTGTTTGATAGTAAGTGTGGCACATTTGTCCAAGCCAAACTCCATTACAATATCTTGGCTATATATACGGACAGTGTTGAGCAGCGATTCTATTTCAGATGATGTTTTTCCATACAGCTTCAGATCATCCATGTAAAGGAGGTGGGATAGTCTAGCAGATGTTTTTGATGTTTGATAGCCATGTCCTGAGTTATTCAGTATTGTTGACAGAGGAAACAGTGCAATAACAAATAGTAATGGTGATAATGAATCTCCTTGAAATATTCCTCTCTTGATATTAACCTCTCCCAGCTTTCTCACCATTGATCTGCAACTGTGTCTTCCATTGTGCCATCGATCTTTGCACAAATTTTCTGATGTTTCTACTGACTCCTGTTATTTCTAGGCACTTTATTATCCAATCATGTGGCAGAGAGTCAAATGCCTTTTTGTAGTCAATCCATGCCACATTCAGGTTGGTCTTCCTTCTCTTGCAGTTTTCCAAGATCATTTTGTCTATTAGGAGTTGATCTTTTGTTCCTCTGCTATTGGGGCGGTTTCCTTTCTGCTCAGGTGGAAAGAGATTGTTTTCAACTAGATGCTGTTGTACTGCATCAGCTACCACACCAGTTAGTAATTTGAAAGTTGTTGGTAAGCAGGTAATTGGCCTGTAGTTACCTGGTGTTGCCCCTTTTGCTGGATTTTTCATTATTAGGTAGGTTTTCCCAGTTGTTAGCCACTTTTCAATTTCTCCTCCTTGTAGTATATTGTTGAACTGCTTGGCAATGAGTGGGTGTATAACAGTTAGATGTTTCAACCAAAACCCATGCAGTTCATCTTCACCTGGTGCTGACCAATTTTTGATTTTCTTTGCTCTTTTTTCTACCATTTTTGTTGTTATTACTAGTTCTTTCATTTCAACTTCTGTTTTATTTGCATCCACCTCTTTTAACCAAGCTGCATCCTTGTTGTATTTCTTTGGGTTATCCCATATCTGCTTCCAGAATTGCACTGTTTCTTCCTTGTCAGGTACTGACTGATTCCTTGCAGTTTCTCCATTGATGGATTGGTAGAAACGTTTCTGATTGGATTGAAATTGGAGGTTCTGCCTATAGTTTGCAATTCGAGCTTCATATCTACTGATTTTCCTGGCTATAGCTGTTATTTGTTGCTTTATTATTTCCAGTGCTTCCTTGATCTTCCTTGTTTCTAAGTGGTATTTCTTGATTAGGTATTCTTTGGTCTTCTTGTTCTTCAGCTTCTTTTCTTTCATCTGTTCTAGCTTGCTTGCATGTGATCTTAACTTGCTGATCTTATTTTCTAGTCTAACCTTCCATTTTTGTGGTGCACTGTTTGTTTGTTTTTCTTTTTTGTTGATTTTACATCCCAGGTATTCTGTTATAACTGCAGCTGTGCTGTACATTAATTGGTTTGTTTCTTGCAGTGAATTGGTGCTTATACTTGCTATTGCAGTATTTGCATCTTTTAATGCTTGTGCTAGCTGTTTCTTTGGAACAAGCTTCAATGCAGGCAGCCTTATTCTGTTGTTTTTGTGCTGTTCTAGATGCTCAGTTATTCTTTGTTTCAATTCTTTTATTTCTTTAGTTAGAGGGTTTTGTTCTTCCTGAGGAAGAGGTGCCTGGTTTCCAAATGAGAACAGTTGTATATCTCTGCTGGATTCCTTCACTGCCAACTCCCCCTGGTTTGCCTCTACATTCTGAATTACTTCTGTAAGGCTTTGATTTCTTTGCCCTGGGTAAACCTTTGCAGTTCGTCCAATTCTGTTTCTGTGAATACTTTATTTCGTGTTATAAATCGGCGTTGATCTGCTAGTCTCTGTTCTGTTATTTCTGATTCTGGATGTTGTTCTTTCCAGAACTGGTGCATTCGTTTTAGATATCCTCTTCTTGTTGGACTTGATCTGTAGTAACAGATCATTATTTCTTTGTTTTCCATTACTGTGTATCTGCGACGGGTAAACACCTTTTCTTCCAGTAGTTCTGCAGCTGCTGGCCCTGGTTGCTCAGCCAACAGTCCTGAGTCCTGTAACCCATTTTTCACCAGATATCCAGGAACTCCAATATCTAGTGCGGACCTTGTTAACCCGGGCGACGTCCGAGCCGGTATGGCATTCTGAAATTTACGTCTCACCATATTTTTTATGGGAGAGACACTCTTTGTCTGACTCCTCTGATGAGACCTGTCCAGTATGGTTGAACCTCTGGCATAGCTCTCATCTTCCTCAGAGTACACAAGCCCCACAACCACGTTTATTATTATTATTATTATTATTATTATTATTATTATTATTGCAGATGCAGTGCTGTTGAAAGAATATCAGCTATCACAATGATAGATGACTTGATACCCCACATGCATGTTGGATTTCAATTCCCATCACTCCCAGCTGCTATCTAAACTATAAGTACAGGGCTTGATTTGGATATGAGGGCAATCTGTCTACAACCTGTCACTCCACTTATCACCAGAGTTGATTTAACTAATCTGGGTGACTAGGCAGGTGTCCCCTTCCTCTCTCATTGCTCCATGTGCATCCCTCCCGAAGCTGCGAGTTTGATGGAAGAGGACGACCATCCCAGGCATGTACTGATCTTCAGTCAAGGGTATATAATATCTCCAAATAAGCTATAAATACAGAACTTAACATCTGTGTTGGTAGTAGTAGTTAGTTCTGAGCTATCGTCATTTACCTTTTCTACATAGTTAACTTCCAGAAAACAAAGTCCCTAATCATGAGTAGGATCATAAACTATGTTAGTTAAAGTAGGGGAGTTATAAGATCAATCGCACAACCGATTTCACAGAGAAAGATTTTCAAATAAAAGTGTGTGCTCAGATAAACTATTTCAAAGTTTTCAATAATTAAAGACAGCAACAAAACTAGTCTTGCTCCTGGCTAAAGAAACAGGCATTGTGCCAATAGTGCCTGTTCAGTCAAAATAAATTAATGAAAATATCCTTTCAAAATGGGCACTGAATTGGGCTCTATATTCTGCGGCTATCATTTGCTTAGGCAGAAAGAGTAAGTGTTAATAAACCAGGCATGCCCTCCCAACATGTCTCTTGTTAAAGATGCAAAGTCAGCATTTAATTTTTATATCCTCATTCTAGTCCATTAATACCCTGGGCTGATTATATTGGCATATCCAAACTACAGAATTAGCACTAAAATAACAGGAAAAATGTAAGAAAAAATAATTGCTTTGAAGGATTTCTGCCACAAGGCAAAATTTACAAAAATGATTTCTTTGAGTATGATCTGTACTGGAAGTATTAGAGATATGTTTTAGCACGTAATTTACTTTTGCTAAAAAAGAAGCAAGAACCTGGGTCTGAAGAAATTTTAAAAGGCGGTTACTTTCTATGGAGATATACACTTCTATAATTTATTGACTATTCTTAGGTATAACATATATACTTAAATTCAGTTTACAAGAGAATCCTTGTTCAATTCCTGACAGTTCAGCAGAGTAGCATTGATGGAACTGATGGAAAAATACCATCTTTCCCCAAAAGTAAGGCCTACCCTGAAAATAAGCCCTAGCTTGATTTGGGGGGGTGTAATATAAACCCTACCCCCAAAATAAGCCCTAGTTTTGGGGTGAGGCACACACCTAAAAATCAAGCTAGGGCAGGGTGGTGGAACTACCTCATGCGCCCCGCACCCTCTTACCTTGCAGCCAAGCCTTTCCTCGCTGGCCCACTTCTTCTGCGGTGTCCCCAGGCCTGCATTTTGCAGTCAGAGGCCTTTCCAGAAGATCACTGAAGCTGAGAACCGAGCTATGGATTCAATCCATAGCTCAGTTCTGCAAGGCCTCTGCAGCCGAGAACTGAGCTATGGATTGAATCCATTGCTTGGTTATCAGCTGCAGAGGGCTTCCAGAAGGGCCTGACTGTGAAATGCAGGCCCAAGCTCCCTTCTGAGTTGCAGAATGAAGCTGATCCTTTGGCTGCAGAAGAAGTAGGCCAGCTGGGCGAGCCTGTCAGTGCTGCCGCTGTGAGGTGAGTGGAAAAGTCACCCCCTGAAAATAAGGCTAGGTGCCTTTTTTGGAGGCAAAATAAATAAATAAATAAGACTGGGTGTTATTTTCGGGGAAAGACGGTATCTGCAAGACACCATGAAGAAAGCTGCTGTCAAGAGTAAACGTTACTGTTCAAGAACCATTGAACTGAATACTGTTAAGATAGTGTTGTCAGATTTCAATTGTCAGTGAAGGTCCTCTAATATATATCTGAAATTTCCCTATATGAGAAACTCTCTGTATAAAAATAATAATCAAAAAATATACTAAATATCAAAGTTATAATTCTTCAATACACAATTGTTGACAGATGTAGGAAGTTTTACATGCTACACAGAGGGAAGCTAAGTTTCATATTGATGTAAAATGTTTCCAGGATGAAAGAAATGTATTCTTATATTTATATTTAAGAGTTGATTATATTGGTTGGTTTCCAATCTTTTCTTTTTATACATGCTATAAAATAGCTTTTAGCTCAATTGCATTCATACTAAAAACATAAAGTATCATCAGTGAGCAGCATACAACATGTGAACCATCAGTAGTATTCATGGGATGCCCAAGTGAAATAATATCTAGCTTAAAATTGATATTTTTAATGGCTGATATTTTATTAGATCACCAGATCACCAATTCTGACAATACTGTAAGGATTGAACCATATATATATGGTACTTATAAACTATTCCCTTGCAAACTGTTTGTGTTCAGACCACAAATTCAGCCTGCCAGTGTGGTTTGACCATTAGATATAAGAATTGTATACATGCACAAATTTTATATAGAAACCTTCCTATAATTTTTAGACATTATTTAGGGGATTAAAAGATGGCAGAAATATATGAATATTTTTCTCTAATGTTTAAGGATGTAGGGACTCATCCTTAGAATGAAGTTCAGAAAAAAACTGAACATGAAGAATGGAACTGTTTTTCTCATTTTTAAAAAATCATCCATCTCATATCTCTTCTGTAAGCTCCTTGTTTCTCAGAAGCTACAATCTTCAGGAGTTGGGGGAGGGGGGGGAATAAAATCTTTCTGACTACTGAATATAAAGAAACTATTTTCCATACAAGTTTCTAGATCTATAAAAGTGTCATGATTCAGATCTGTCTTTTCTCCCAGTTTAAATTTTTTTGCTTTATTTTTTGCAAACTGTTTAATATATAACTTTTCGAATTAAATTGCATTTAAGATTATATGACCCAACTTTAAATTTATATAAACATCTATTATTGAAATGATAAATGGAATACTGTATAACCATAAGTAGGAATAACTACTAAGGTTAACCTATTTTCAGTTGCAGAAAATCAATATGTTTGCTGAGAGCACTGAAGCCCTATAGAAATTCAGCATAAACTGCAGATCACAAACATATCATTGTAATTATTTTATGTGCATACTGCCATTTTTAATCAATATTTTTTAAAGAAGTTTGCAAGCAGAAAGTCAACAGTGAGACATTATGGGGTGAATGCTAAGGTCATTGTTGCTGCAATTCCCAAATTATACTGAAATAATTATCCCTAGTTGTACACAAACTCCAATATTATTCAAAACATCATACATACAAGTAATAAGAGGAGGACCCTGAAGGATATTGTTCAAATTATGCGAACTAATCAACTTTCTCATATTTGATGCTGATACTATGAAGCAATGCAAAAGTCAAACAGATCAAAATGCAATTTACATTTGTAAATCTCCAGTCTTAAAAAAAAAATCTCTATTTTAGCAACTTTTTTTGCACACTCTTCTGTATTTTCTGTATTTGATCCTTTTTATTGATTATTCTCTCTGCTGAAAAAAAATATTCTAAAGAAATAAATTCTGCTAACTGCCAACTCACAACTTCTCTGGCTTTTTCACATCTGCTATGAAACTGCACATAACAGAGTGTTTACTTACCACCCATCAGTAGATTAAGTAGATAACGTGGATGAGTGATCCTTCCTGAACTTCGAAATAGGCAAAGACCAGTATTTTCTTCTTCCACATCCATTGCAATACTGGGCTACAGTTATTCCACTTCAAAGTTGAAATCATGAGAGTTCAAATTCCAACTTGCCTCTTTTAAAACAAACAAACCAGCCAAAAACAAAAACAACCCAGATTCAAGTTCCATGAGTTATTTATTAAGGGATTACTGCAGCTACTGTCAACAGTGACCAAAACACCTAGACATTTTCAGATTTCAGACACACAGAACAAAGTGAGGAATATGGCTGATGTCATATCCTTTCCAGTACTATATCCAATCAGCATGCTTCTCTTCTGTTTTTATAAGAAAACTTCTCAGTTGCCAACAAAACAAGACAGAAAGAGCTAGTTTAACTTGTTCAACTAACTGTGCCTTCAGGGGATTTATAATAGAAAAAGGGGAAAGGGGAGGGAAGGGGAGAGGGGGAGGGAGGGAGGGAAAGAGAGACATTTTAGTATCATCTATTCTGCTTTTATCACAAAGCATACATTATTTTATTTTCAGACATAGATGCACTAGCATTCAAAAATAACATGAACATATACATTAAAAGGCAAAGTATCTCTTTTCACATAGAAATGGACACCATTAGGGTGTGGATATTAAAGCCATATGTTTGAAAAACTAAATTTTCAATGTTATGATTCCTCTGACAGTTTTTCTGATCCTCACATACTCTAGTTGTATTTGGGCTAAACTCAGCATGCCTACCCACTTCTTTAGGGGAGGTGTCATTGGAAGCTAATGGGAGTAGTAGTGCAAATGCATCTAGAGGATGGCAGAGTAGGGAAATCTGGTTTTTGCTAAAAAAATAATAAATAAATCCAAACTCAGAGCATTCATAAAGACTTCTCAATTAATTGGCATATTTCATTTTCTGTGCTAATTAAGTGTGAAGATAATCCAAAAGGACAGAGGAAATGCCACTAGAACCAGCGCATCCATTCACATGATAAGCATAACATTGCTTAAAGAACAAAAGTTCATGTATGAAGGGATAAATGGAAGAAAGCAAAGATAATTTGCAAGAATGGAAAAATATACCAAGATATAGGGATGTAAGCTAGTTTTTAATGATGTTGGCTTTTTTTTCTTATTGCAGGTATTTAATTTATACAGCTTAATATTTCCAGCGCCTTTTCTGTACTCTGAATAATGTCTGTTCCTAAAGAATATAGCATGATGGGTTTATATAGATCAGATGTGTCAAACTCAAGGCCTTCAGGTCAGATCTGGCCTGCGATGGATTTAGATCTGGCCCATAGGGCCACCCTGGAGTTGGCAAGGGGCCAGCCCCCATCGCTTCAGCCCTGGCCCACCCCAGCTGATCCAGATGCTTCTCCTGGGCATGTGTGCAGGAGCAGCAAGCACACGGGAGCAGGCAGTGCATGGCATCAGCTGCTGATTGGTGGGCAGCGATGGCCAGCTGGATATGAGCTGGGGCATCCAATAAGCCACGCTTAGCCCTCCCCCCCATGCACCACACTCACGTACCTCGGACCCCACAGCTAGGCCTCCCCACCTCGTCCTGCCCCACCATCTGCCTTGCCTCGCCTTGCCCCATGGTGGCGGCATCAACAGCAGCCCTGTCCAACAGGAGGCCCACTGCTCCTACACTCTCCTCCAGCCTGGGAAGCCTAGCCAGCCCAAGGAGAGCAAGCACAACAGTAGCAGCCTTGAGGAGGAGGTAAGCACAGCCAAGCACCCCCTTGGGAAAGAGGGGCTGGGCTGAACTGGGCTGCAAGGGAGCTTGAGGGCCAGGCTCGGCACCTGTGCTTCACTGCCCAGGGCTCCGGGTAGCCCAGGGACCATCATTCCTAACTGGGTGCCCAGTTCTTCCTTCGGGGGGGTTCGCACTCAACCTCCTCTCTGCTTGGGCTGTGGCATTCTGTCGGCCCTGCATCCCAGGGAGCAGATGTCCTTCTTCACGGGGTGGCTCATGCATCCACGGGTGCCCAGCTATTCTAGACTGCAGCTCCGCTTCCGGCATTCGCCTGCCTCTCCAAGGGTGTGACTTTTCTCTAATGTGATCATGAGCAACCATCCTAGCGAGGTGCCTAAACACCATCCCAGAGAGACCCCAGCCTTCCAGCTGCCTAGCATGACTATTGTAAGTGCTGCATTCCCCTCTCTGCCCTGCCACATGGTGGTGGCGTGACTTGGAACCGGCCTCTGCTGATGCTTGGCTCGTGTTACCCCATGCTCCCATCTCCCCTTCTGCTGGTTTGCCTTTCATCCCATAGGCCAGATCTTGTCCACCACTTGATAGGTGGGCAGGGAGGGGCCCTTTTGGTCTCATGTCCAGGGGACAGCAAGGCTCCTCTAGTGGACAAGGTTTTGCACTCACCCTGGTCTCGCATTCCTCCACTGGAGACATCCAGATCCCCCCTTCCAGCCTTGCCTTTCCCCCCACAGGCACCCCTCAACATGAGCAACATCGAGCTGTCCATGCCTACCCAGCCATGCCACCTAGTCATGGCGACCCAGCCATGCCTACCCAGCCACGTCCACCTGTCCTTTTGAGTGCAACCATAATTCTGATGTGACCCTCAGTGAAATTGAATTTGACACCCCGATATGGATCATGTAATGTTGCCCTACAGCCGAACATCTATCCATTTTTTCATTGTGTAGTCAGTATAGTGTATTATATCTAAAAGAAGCAAACAGTCTTTAACAGGCTTACTAAATTGGTAACGCTTTTGGGAGATACCTCTGGCAATTTCTTAACCATGACAAGAAAACAGATTGCTTACTCATAACCTTAGACTACCTGGTTGAGAGGTTGATTATGAGACAAGCCCCCAAAAACATTCAGTCATTTCCTCCAAACTAGAAAATTCAGACCATACATTATTTTCATTTTCAGTCCTCTTTTTCACTGTCATGCAGAGACAAATTGCCTAATAAAAATGCAACTTTAAAATAATATAACAAAACAAGAAAATCAATACTAAAGGGATAAATAAGAAAGCATTCTATTGTACAATTAATGCTACCAGATACAAGAGTGTGAAATGGTAGGAAAAAAATGGTTGTCCAGATTTTCTCAGCTCACATCCGGTAGCCCTAATACAACTGCGTTCAAGAAAATTCAGACAATCTGAAAAGGCTAGTAAGTATAATATTCTCATACAACCACAATTAGCATAAACAAAAAAGGAGGCTTTTTTTAAAATACAGTATAGCAAAGTACAAAGAGAGGAAAGGTCATCTTTTCTGATGCAATCCCAAAGAACCATCTATGTGACGAGTAACTTATGAGTAACTATGGATGAGAAGTTTTCACCGTTACCAAAATAAATATCCATACTAGAACAAATAGCCAATAAAAGGGTGATTTTCATGAATTTCCTACTAGAAGATATTGGTCCCCTATTTATTTAGGTTTCAGTGAGGATAAGACAAATTCATGGATGAAACAAATGCATAAGTCTACCAGGGGCTATAAAATAGCCACACAGTTCCTGTTGAATCAGAGAGAGTGGATCTGAGGTATAAGTTGCTGGCAAATAAAAGCAGATTCTCTCTATGGACTTCCCCATGGCATCTGATTGGCCAGAGAATAGATTGTTTTTAAGTTGTCATTAAAATTACAAAATTAATGGTATACATTAACTTATAAATTACAACTGTGTGTCCTTAAAATATGCAGAGAGAGTTTTAAGTTGATTTTATTCCACTGATATCAAGAGCTCTATTTGAATTATATGTAAAATAGATAAAAGTGAAAATAGCAGCTATGCCAATCCCAATAAAACGGGGAAGATATTTGTAAAAAAATTCCTATGGTTATATTTGTCATAATACACAGCCCGCACCCAAAGTTTGCTAGTTAAATGTTAAAATGTATTAGATGACAGCAAATAGTTGATTTTATTAATTGTCAGCATATAAAATTAGAACAGGTGTCAATTATATTTTACCCAGAACTAATTAAGAGTTGCTACAAACAACTGTACTTTTGAAAAATATTTTGTTCTTTTAAATGGTGTTTAATTTTACGTAATCCTATTTGAACATAGAAAACATGGCATACTAACAGATAAATAAAATCAAGGTAACAATTAATTCATATATTCTCAATCTATCAACAACCAAAGTGTGCTGCACTTTTTTTTTAAAAAAAAAAAAGGTGGATGAGCTTAATTTACACAATGTGGCTTTTGAAATGAAAAAAGATGGTATTAACTGAATTTGTTGGAAGGGAGAAAGAGGAAAAGATGATGATAATGAATACAATGGCCTTGTTCAGGGTGGAAAAAAACAGAATGAATAACAAACAGTATCTTCTACTAAAGATTTGGCAGTTCTCCCAGACCTTTCTCCTATGGGAGAATGCTGAGCTTCTCTTCATTGTATTTTGTTATAATGTATGTTTTTATTTGGACTTGCGCAGTTCTTTTTGCCTATTTTATAGGATTCCCTCCCCACCAATGTTCTAAATTGCTATATTCCCAGAGTTATCTGGAAACAGATGGCCTCAAAAATGTAATAAAATAATCAAACAAAGAAATATTATCTTGAAAGTTTGATATCTTATTTACTTTTAACTTATTAACTGCATTCTTGGTCTCCATCTCTCTCAGCTTTAAAATATGTTTGCTCCTGACCTGGACAGCCATAATAAAGCTCCTCAAAAGACTGTATTGTGAATTACAATTTTCATTCAGCAGATCTGATTTACAGGATATGTTCACAGGTATCATAAACCATGGATAAGTATAAAATATAGAAATAGATTATGTTCCAAGAGAATCAAGCACATAGAAAGAGGGTTTTTTTCTCTCTTATGTAGTTGATTCTACTTGTTATGCCTGAATTTGAGATTTCTATTCAAATTGTGGCTGATGAAACACAGAAGCCATGTACACCATATTTTCAAATTGGCTTGGCAAGTCAGGAACTATAGGTTCTTTTAAAAGACAATGTACAAATAATATAAACTTAAAACGAACATGAGCAGATTCTTTTCCTAAGGTATATATCCTTAGTTTCATGTACAGATCAGCCCACAATCATGTTAAGTCTTTCCATTTAAGAATTCAGCTCACTTTACTATCCAATCCATTACTAACTAAACTTTTTTCCTAGACCAGTCAAGCTCATTAGGTACAGGCTTCAGTGAAGAAATCCAACCAGCATGTGAACAGTCACAGTGTTTCCTGACTTTCACCATCTTTTTCTTCCTGCTGCTGATAAAGGCTGCTGACATTCTGTTGTTGATACTTCCCTGTTGATGAAGCCTGGGAACAT